ACTCCATTAAAAGCTCGTGTCTTTCCAATGTCTATACCTTCGATCCAACAAATGCAACAGTGTTTCCTCATAGCAGTCGGCAGCACGTTACACACGCAGTCCTTTCCCCAGCCCTTGCTTTGGTTTTTTGGGTGCAGAATTGTCAACCAGGGTGACATAGTGAGACCCTGTCTCAAAAAACAAACAACGACACACGGAGAGAAAAACCCAAGCCAAACAAAGCTATGCGCGCTCTCTCTCTCTCTCTACATATATATATTTCAACATGAACATACGTGCATACTATACATACGAGTGTGTGTATATAGAGGAATGTTTGTATTTTCTATCTTTTCAAACTGGAGAAATTAAAATACACTTTTTTTTTTTTTTCTGAGACAGGTCGCCTTGGCTGACCTGGAACTAGCTCTGTAGACCAGGCTGGCCTCACAGAGATCCACCTGCTTCTGCACTGAGAATGCTGGGATTAAAGGCGAGTGCCACCACCGCCTGGCTTAAAATACACTTTATTAATATACGCAGTTCTTTGACCAGATTAGTTCTATAAACACCCAGTCCCTTGCCTAGTAGACATTGACAGTACGTCCGGCCACATTAAACTGTGAGGGATTACCCAGCATGCCCCATACTTATTTGACCACAGACACCTGTATTCCCATGCCTTAAGGCACTGGTGTTGTGAGAATTATCATTTGGGAGCAATATGGTGTGTAGAGACCAAGCTTGGCTCAGAAGAACAAGGTGAGGTACACTCAGGGCCTTAACATTTCATTCTGACTCCTCCTTTTCAAGTAATAACAAAAGTGTCATTTGAAAAAACTCAGGTTTCAACTTGGCGTGCCTTGAGGGAGCAGTAATGAAAAATATGGTGAAAGCCGTTAACACAGAGATCAGGCCCGGTGTCTCGGGTCGGCCGGCACGATTCAGGGTGTAAAGCAGCAGTTACTCGCTCGCAGACACCAGAAAAGATGGACTTTCCTGACGTATTTAAAATCCTGTAGATCTGCTGTGAGTTTCCAACCGAAAAATGCGTACGTGTCCCAGTTTTGCTGCTTGCCTTTGCTTTATCAGCGGTTGAGAAGGAAGTTATTTTAGTCATTTGTTATCTTGTTTCTTAATTTTTTTTGTTTCTCCCTTCATGCCTAAAGTAAGTTTAAAAAAGTACAAAATACTTATACAAATCCTGTTTAGATTGAATGCAGAAATACCCACTCTGAAGTGAGACCTGGGTAGGAAGCCTCTCTGCCAAGGGTCTTCAGGTATTTGTGGCACGACTCTGGCTTGCCATCCTTAGAAACACTGCTCTCTCCCGCTTGCCAGTGGCCTATGCAGTGTATGTTCTTAAAATGATGTCTGTTTATGGATTTCTACGTGCGAATGTTTGTGTATGTGGACACGTGTGCCAGAGTGCACATATGGAAGTCAGAGGACAACCTGTGGGAGTCTGTCCTCTCCTTCCTCGTGTGGGCCCCAGGGATTGGAGTCAGGTTGTCAGCATTTACCCACTGAGTGACCTCGTTGGCCACCCCTGGCCAGTATCTTGAGTTACTTCTGGTGACCTTGGATGTGGGCTTATTTAATAGAATTGCGAATACCCTTGTGCCCATAATTCCAGACGGCTAAGGAAAGGCAGACATCCACCTGTGACTGAGTCTCCATGGAAACAAGGAGAAGCCAGCTGAGCCCAGGGCCCTGTGACACAAGCTCTTGTGTCAAGAGCACAGGCTTGAGAGACTCTGAAAACCGAGTGGCTTCTGTTGCCTAAGTGGCTGTGTCCTTATAGTGTAAACTGCTTCAGTAATCCTGTCAACAGTGACAGCACAAGGAGCAAATGCTAAGCAAAATAGACACACACACACAAACACACACACACACACACACACACACACACCCTTCTTTGAGCTCACCAAGAGAGACTTCCAGCAACGATGAGCAAAGAGACCAAGAAAATGAATGGTGCTCGGTAGGGAATTTGTGGCTCTACTACAGGTTCTGGTTCTTACAAATAATTCAGTACCGACATGATTGTCCCCAGAGACCCCAGGGACAGTGACACCCACAGTCCATATTAGCTACAGATGACTTTTGGTTAACGTATGAACTAACAAGAGCAGACCCAGACAGCAGCATTTCTTGCAGCACGAGTGACTGGAGCTTTCAAGGTGTCTGAGGAACTTAGCAAGCCTCGGGTGCTGGGCTAGGATGGGTTAGCTGTCCCGCACGGTGGCTTTCTTCAACTGGGTTGCTGAGCGAGTGAGTGGGGATGTGTGAATGGCCACGTCTGATTTGAGAGGGGCCAGGGCGCCTTGTCGGCCTGTTGGTACCAGCCGTCCATGACAAAAGTACACAGAGTGTACTCGGGATACCTGGCTCTCGTTTTAGCAACATTAATCTTCCTTTGGTATCCGGATCATTCTGTCAGTAACTCGACAGAAAACAGGCAGCTCTTTTGAAGCCTTCTGTAAATGGGGAATGCGTTCATACTTGCATCTGTTCACAGCAGAGGTAATTAGGAGGTTCCCCTGTTCCTCTAATATGCCTGTGCCCAAGAAAAGCCAAATTCCAGCTGGATTTGAAGTGCCTTTTATCTTTTCATTAGTGATGATAGATTAAAGTATGTATTAAGAATTAGACATCCCTTGACCAGCTTTCAATAAGAAAAGCAAAATAATACAGGAACATGAAGGATAATATATATATATATTCCAAAGGAAAGTTTGAAATTAGGAGAAAAAAAAATTTTTTTTTCAAGACTGAATAATTTTAAATTTCCTCTGTACTTCTGGAAATTTGGGTTCTATGTAAATTAAGTTTTAGGTACTTAAACACCTCCTGGCTGGAGGCTTTTGCTGAAGTACATGTCAGAGACCTTGTTCCCAGCTGCTGTTTCCACAGGTGTTGAGGCCCCATGTACACCACCATGCCTGGTGCGTCAGGGAAGACGGCCTATCCCAGTGACGTAGGGAGAGGCAGCCTGTCCTGATGTATTTCCTCTCCCTTAGTGACTTAGCCCTGTAGAAGGCACTCTCGGGCAAACGGTGACATGAGTTCCCCAACACTGTGGTTAGCACAGTCCAGTGGCGGCCAGCTCTGGAGATGGGAACTGGGGACAGTGGCAGAACGGAGGGATTGAATTGTTACTGTGAATCACCTTGGGTGCCTTGTGCGCGTGCGTGCGTGTGCACGTGTGTGCACGTGTGTGTGTGTGTGTGTGTGTGTGTGTGTGTGTGTGTGATGGGAGCCTGAGATTTCTTAACCCCCTCCAGCCTCTGCTTTTCTCCAGCCTCCGTTTCTTTTGCTATTGAGGTAAAGGATTCTCTAAATTCACTGAATTTCCTCCTCATCTCTAATATTCATGATCCTACGTCTTATACAAATGTCACCACATACTCTCGCTGTGGGAAGCAGTAGCCGCCTTTGAAGCCCATTCCTTGTCCTGTCCGTGTCCCTTGAGACTTCTCTTTCCTGCCTTCTGATACCTTGTCTCCCAGCTCATTTTGACCCACCTCACAAGCGTCGTCCTGTGATTCACCTTCAACACCCACTCTCTCTCTTCTGGCCATCTTACGCATTCTCAGGGGACAGTGCTTATGTCAGGAGACGGGATCTCTCTTTTGAGTGAGGCGCCTGTGTGCTCACTGGCCTACTTGGCATTCTGTGGGCATTTCAACTTAATATCTTGGCCTGACCTGGCTGTCCATCATCTCATTTCCCTGTTTGCTATCCACTGACAATAACACCCAAACAGCAAGGCCGAGAATTCCCCTAAATGTCTTCCTTTCCCTCGTAAGATTTTGGTAGTGGGCTTTGCAGTAATGCGAACCTGTGGCCTGCGATAGGCTTCTGTCCTATCTCACATTTTACAAATACACTCCTAAGTTGACGGCATTATTCCATTTGGGTTTGGGAGGGACTTCCTGTATACAGTGTCAGATTCTTTGTTAAAATGGTGGACAGATATTCCAGTTACACCCCCCCCCCCCCGCATAGCCAATATTGTGTTTATGAGTCCACAGGGTGCTCATTCCACAGGATTGCTGTGTCTGTGACTGGTGTTTGGTTTTTAAATTTGAAGCTAAATTAACAGCCTATGGCTTCATAGAGCCTATGGTACTCGTTCTGTTTTGCTTTGATTTTCTCTTTAGCCATTTAAAATAGCATTTCACACAGAAACACACACACACACACACACACACACACACACACACACACACACACA